TCCTCAGTTGCACCTCTTTTTGTTCTGATGTACAGATATCTATGAAAATGTTCTATTTAATTAGCAAAAGTGTTAAACTTTTATCTTATTTTTTAAATATCGTGTTTGCCATTTTCAAAATTTCAGTGTAAAGGCAGAGTAATGGTGGAAAAAAAACAATTATGGGTTTACCAATCATTTTTGCCAAATACATTCTTAATGGTCCATATAACTGATGGCTTGGCAGAGGTCCAAAAATCAGACCACAAATTGGGACAACTGAGAAGGAAAGGGGGACAGAGGAATCTGATTCTAAATTATTTTTCACATGAGTAATAAAAATAGGTATGAATACATGGAGTTTGAATTATTAAAGGAGTAGACTGTTCACTTATCTTAATGAACAGGTTGAAGCTGTGCTCACTTTGAATACCCAATCATGTCAAGGGATTGATTAAATGATTCAAGTGAAGAAGGTACTGGGAGTGCCATTCAGAATAAATGCCTTACCTGCCTTACTGAAATGGTGTGAACGGGCTCACTTCCTCACACACTTAAGAAAAAAATTATAGGTTTTGACCCTCCCACTCTTTATCAATAGCAAAAAAATAGAAAAGGTTTATAAATTCAAGCTTTAAAAATGGGGTGAAGCATGGCCCTCCGAAATCATGTCTGCTGCTTCCAGTCTTGGAGACCAAACTGTATACATTTTTTGGGAAAAGCACAAGTCTCATACATCAACCTATAAAGGGGAAGTGCCTGATAACCAGCCTTTTCCAAAGGGGTAGACAACTTCCACTCTATATCTATGGCTTTCTTAGCATAAAAATAGACCACACCATGGAGAAGTTTAGCACTAACAGACAGAGCAGAGTGGTCTAAATACTCCAAAAGACATCTGGCAGGGTTACAAATATTCAGCACAGTCAGCAGAGAGACAATATCACATCTGTGATCTCAGACCAGAAGGCCCGTATTGCGGGACACTCCCAAATCACATGCATAAAAGGTCTGCAAGGCTGTAAGACATCTACTACAAGACAGAGAACCAATGTAGAAATTGGAATCAATTTTTGCACAGTGTAATAGATTTGATGCAGATACTTATTAAATTAGCCTAACCCTGGAGGATATAACGGAGGTATTGTAGGGACCCAACACATTCTTCCAAGTTTTTTTCCAGCAAGTCTTGGACCTCCTGGTGCCATCTAACTTAAATAAGGGCAAATTTAGTTGTGTTTTAACAATTCCTACTTGATTGAACCTTTCAAAGGCATTACTGTAAGCTCACACATGTAAGCTTTGTCCTTTGACTAACAATAAGTAATTTGCAGTAAAGGCGTTCATAATATATATTCACGTTCCCTTGTTCTTGCTGCATGGTATTACAATGCAGTTATGCTGCTGTGATCATTTAGAACACAGATGGATGGAACATTTGCTACTCGGTACATAAAGAATGTCCCTGCAGGAGGCCAGCTTTACACGTCAGTCACTTGTGTTCTCCTAGCTATTTTCTAAACGGATGAGAAAAACAGCTGATTAAACTGCGATGCCTAATAGAAGGAAGGATAGAATTTAGCCAGAAATTTAAATGTTACTAGTGTTTTTTTAATTTAGGGTCCTAAGGAAGGAGGGTATTCCTAAACTGACTTAAATCTGCTTAATATATCAGGGCCCCCTCTTTTTTCTAATTCATCGAAGCATTAAAGTAAAAGAAAATGTCAGTGAAAAAAGTTATCAGATATACTTGCCTTACCCTTGGCATCCACCTGGATGAGGCTGAATTCACCATCCTCCTGGGGAGACGCCGGGGAATGCCGAGTACCCCACATTTCATGAGAAGACAATCCCAACACTGCGCTGGAGCATCTTATCACAAAATGTGGGATTCTATGAGGGAGGGGACACTGATATATTAAGCAGGCTTTGCTTTTTAATACAAAATCTGCTTTAAAGGCATATTCCACCTTTTACAAAAAAATAACTGCATACTCATACATCAACAGAAAAAATGTGCAATAATGTTATAAAATGGAGCCAGCGAAGCACTGCAACAGAGATTAGTAGATCGTGGGTGCACTGCTCTGGCTCCTGCAGACTCTTCTTTCAATCACTGTTCGTACCTCGGTATGGACTTGCAGTAAGAGATATATGGGACAAAATATGAATAGACTACAAGTGTGGTGACATCTCCGTACATGTACTTCATTAAGAACTACATAAGTCCCCAAGTGACCATGTTTAATGTTACACTTTGAATTTTGATATAACATGAAACATCATATTAATGGCTAAGTTTACTTTTCTGACCATGTTTCATGTTACACCCATATTTTAGGGGTAACATGGAACATGGTCAGATCACAAACTCCCTTCCACTCATTCTCTTTACTAAATTGTGGTATGAGGATAGACTATTGAGGCTGACCTGATATTAATAGGCCTATGTTGTCTCCATTGTAACTAAGGCCAATAAGTTACATCAACAAGCCGGCAGTGTCACAGGCAGCAGCTGAACAAGCAATCTGATCAATTCCATGTTCGACTGGAGTATAATATTAGAAGCAATGTTCTTGATGTGTGTACTCCAGAAGGTATTGATTCTGCTTTGCTTGAAAGGTAAATAGCTTTATCTTCTTTAATTTCTTTGTTACTACAATATTTTTTACTGTAATCTTGTAAGTGTTTCAGCCACTGCAAGCTATATCCACGGCTAACACTTACTAGTCTCAACCAGTCACCCCATCATCCCATACATACAAGGTTCATCAATAAAGTTTACTAGAAGCATTTCTGCTCTAGATCTGATTTCATGTATTTACAAGTGTTATATTTTTATCTTATTTCATTACCTAGATATGTAAAATATCTGGGAACCATCTCCAACATATTATAGGCTGAATTCACAAAGCTTTACCACAATTATTTTTAGCCATGTGACTGTCATTTTGTAATCTCATTGGACTTTCCTGAACATGACTGTCAAGAAGGCTCCTTATCTGGGTATTTTAGCTTTGTGAATTGAGCCTTATGTCATGTATTGAACCAGATATGACTCTACTGTACATGTAGTATTCTGAGCTATTCATGGTGCAAAGTATATTAGAAATAGGTGGTGCTATGTGAATGTAGTTAAAGACAGTCTGTACTACCACTGACAAAAAGCTCTGTGCTGATTAAAACAGGCAAAACGTGTCTGTGAAACTTATTGAGCATGGTCCCTGGAATTTAGATATTGCCAGACAAATGCTGTGGCCTTCAACAAATACATGTACAGTATCTGTGGGAAATGGGTACATTATTTGTTGCATTGAGGCAGGGAAGTCACTGAGGCAGGAGTCTCCATACCGTGGACACTCCATCCTCCATGCATGTTTAGCCCCTGGAGCATACATAGTCTTTGGTTGCCATGATGCAGTAAGCCACACAGCATCTTTGGTTGCTATGACACTGCTGGCTGCACAGCATGCTTGGTTGCAATGACACTGTTGACTGGGGAGCATCCTTGGTTGCTATCATGCTGTTGACTGCACCGTGTCATTGCTTGATGTTCGACTCGAACATGGGCAGTTCGTGTGTTCGCACAGTGCCTTGTGAGCCCTGATTGGCTAGAGCCTTGCCGTTTTTTGTTTTCTATTATTTCTATTTATTCTTGTTTTATTTTTATCTCGTCGAGTCATCGTCGTGGACAAAGCTGGACATTGTGATTGACCCTGGATTATATCGGTGGATCCATTTTCGGGGGGGTTTAATAAAAGACTTGTCAAAAACCACGTCTTTTGTTTTTTGTTTTCAATGAAAGGATTTTTTCAATAGTCTGGCCTCTTTTCTTAAAACTTTAACCCTTTAGTGAATGAGTAGGGGTACAAGTATCCCTTACTCATTCACAAGGGGGGGGACCGCATCTGGGTGCCCCTTTATTAAAGGGGTACCCTGATGTAAATAAGCCCCCTGCCCGCACCCCCACAACCAACGCCCCAGGGCTTGTGGGGAAGAGGCCCTTGTCCCCATCGGCACGGGTCAGGGTGCTTTTCCGGAGGCCACCCTGGAAAAGCACCCTCCCCAGTGCCGGGGGCATGTCGCCTGGTATTGCAGGGAAGGGGGGTGCACTTGCTCGTTCCCCTCTTCCTGCCTGTGCTCGGATCAAGGGTCTGGTTGGGAATTTTAGGGGGGGGGCCACATCTTTTTTTTTTTTCCTCACTGTTTTGGGGTGTTTGCTCCTTCAAATTCCTACCAGACCTTAAGGGCCTAGCATGACTTTGAACCTCATGCACTTTTTTTTGTTTTCTTTTAAATTGTAACTTGGGGTCCCTCCTAAAATTCTTACCAGACCTAATGTGTCTGGTATGACTTTTGGGGGAAACCCATGCTTTTTTGTTTTTTTTAAGTGGGGTCCCTCCTAACTTTCCTACCAGACCTAAAGGGTCTGGTATTGTTTGGGAGGGGGAACCGCACGCTTTTTTTTTTTTCCCATTTTAAATGTAATTTTTTTTCTTTAAAAATGTTATATTTGCTGCAGCAGGTTCTATACATCGTACAGATGCGCCACTTTACAGGCAGGTTAAGGGGACACTCCAGGCACGATATTTAAAGGAATTTTTCATTCTTATTGTTTCACTTAAGTGATGTTAAAATTACTGCTCCTTTAAAAAAAATTAATTCTTTTTTAAAGTGTTTTTTTCATCGATACATGTCTTCCAGGGCAGTACCCGAATCCCCATACCCTTTTTATGGCCAATAACTTGCATATAAGCCTTGAAAAAGGGGACAATTGATTTTCAAAGTTCTAGCCCCATAGACTTGCATTGAGTTCGAATTCGAACTTTTTCCATGTTCTAAAGTTTGAATTTAAACGGGGGTGTTCGGCCCATCACTACTTGTTATGATGCTGTGTGGCCCATTCTGTCTAAAACTTTGGATAGGGTTGTATCTTGCATTGCCATGTTGCTTACACTGACATATTTATGATGTCTATTATTTCTGATTATTTTTTTTCCTTCTTTTTTTCCTTCCTCTAGCATTTCCGAAATGAGCCGAAGAGTGGTGCGCCAGAGCAAATTTAGGCACATTTTCGGACAGCCTGTGAAAGCTGATCAAACATATGAGGATATCCGGGTATCTAAGATCACATGGGACAGCTCCTTCTGTGTTGTGAATCCCAAATTTCTAGCTATTATTGTGGAGTCCAGTGGTGGAGGAGCTTTCATGGTGTTACCATTAGGCAAGGTAAGATCAAGTACAGATTTGTTTAGTCTCTCAAAAACAATATATGCTTAGTTTTTTCAATGTTAAGCTGAGCGTGAATGTCTTAAAAAAAAAAAAAAAAAGACTATAGACATTAGATACTATTTAGATGATCCAGTGTCAAAACAATCCTTTTCCCCCCTAATCAGCATAACTTTTTTCAACCTAGCTATGTAATGCTTGCATAAAGATGCACACTCATATTGTATGAGCATACATATCTATATATACATACTGTATATTCTATAATGCCTAACAAAGGATTTTTATTCTATACAGCCAGTGATCCACACTGTGTGGCCATGGTGGCTATGTAGCAAGTAAAAAAAAAAAACCCAAAGTCATACAACCAGTCTCTTCTAATACGCCTAGGAAAAATCCCATTTATTCCTATAGAGAGGCTGAAAGTCACGTGTCCCAATGATAGATGGTCATTTCACAATAATGAATGGGACCAGCTGGAAAAAAGTATACAGAGATAGCTGTGTGGCTCATCGTAGATCACACAGTGTGGCTCTGGCAGGTGCAAGGACAGGTGAGTCTAAAACTTTGGGGGTGCTGGATTTAAAGGGAGGTAAATAAAAATAAAAAAATATGGTGGAGAGATAGCATGGAATGTTGCATATCTTGAGCAAAAAAAGGAAAAAAAAGGTGTTTCCCCTGCCACCTTCCTCTACAGTTTTGCAGTTGTGTATAAAACAAACAGACACACATCTGGACCCAGATGGAGTCTGTGGTGAATGGATGTAATTGGACACATGTCCTGGCTGCCCATAGAGATACATTGGGCTTCCGATCAAATCCACCTGAAAAACTGACAGGTGGACCTGATCAGACCGTCCGTGTGAAAGGGGCCGTAAAGATGATCATATGATTCTTCTTGTATACTGCCAATACAAATAGGAGCTACATATCCATATATGAGATTCACTTTCAGGAGCCACACTTGAGGATCTTCTACCAACTGGAGACTTGAACTTCAAAGCTAAACTAATTATAGCTTACTCAGCAGGAGATAGCACAGAGTTGACTTGACACGATGTACACATCATGGATGTCAGCCATCAGTAGTGGCTTCATAAATCAGACGCATTTAGAGGATATTCACAGCAAAGATATTTTCTCTTCCATGGTCTTCTGTTTGCACCTGCTGTATCTTCCAAGACCCTTAGCAACAAGATAAAACAGGAGACCTGATGGTCTGTACTTTCTCTCCTGGAATGCCAGGCTTTATCAGCCTCATGTTCACATTCGATTTTATGTTCCAGCGCTCCATAGTGTACTCAGTGAGTTATTAGCTCATTCTGCATTCTGTGGTGCTGTGCTGATGTGATCCAGCTTGGTGCACAAAGGAAGTGACTGAACTTTATTATTTGCGACATCATTTCTCTTTCCCTCCAAGGCCAGCACTACACTATCTGCCCCGTTGCATCCCCAAAATACATATCCAGGCCTCAATTCCTCTGGCTTAAATGTCAAAAACTATTACCCAGACACTCTGCTTACTGAAAAATCTTTCATTACATTGCAAATCAAAATCCTATCTACAGACATCTCAGGCAACCTTTATAGGACCAATCTTGCCGTATACATGATAAAATCTTATTGTCCATTTTGCAGTTGGTTTCATCTCACATGCTGGGAAAGAAAATAATAATATGGGACATTATTATTCCTCATGTCGGGGTCATTTGTTTTTGTATCCTGGTTTCCCAGGAAACCTAACACTGAAATATTGGCTCTGTGTATAGAGAAGGCTTTATAGGATACAGGATTTGGCAATATCTGTGTAGTAAAATTGTTTTTTTTTAAACATATAAAAGATAACGCTGACTGTAATTTTACAAAGCCGAGAAACTATGTTTATTTTTAGGGTAGGCACACAATAGTGCTGTTCCTTTTGTGGTTCTTGATAAATCTGGCTGCATTATATCACTTCTAAAAAGGCAAATGTTTTTTTCCTTGTATGTATGAGCACACACAAGAAAAATCCAGTTTGTTTTAAATTCCCTGCTCTGCAATGCATTTCCTCAGACATGTGATCACATCCAACAAAGTACCATGGAGACACATTGTAAAGGCCTCCAAAACACATGGAAATCTAGACTATTAAACATGCATGTCCTCAGCCTTGGCACCCAAACACATGAATGCAAGTCCCAAAGGACAAAAATGCTTTGCTCTGTGTAAGCTCGGCTGTCAGTCAGCAATATTTAGAAGAAAAGATGGGCGCATTACAAAATATAACCAGGTGCTGGACTGCTATTTCAAATGTTTTCTCCTGGCAAGAGAATGAGCCCTATGGCACAAGGGCGATTCTGACAGCAACTTGCCAGTGATAAGACTGCTGGGAGATTTGAAAGTGTGGAAAGAAAGCTCTGGACCCATGTGGTTTTATTCTCTTTTTGTTTCCCATCCAACAGTAGTTAAGTGATGTGAATATATGTGATCTGGGAAACGTATAGGCAGCTTCCGCAATCCAAAGGATCTCCACAGGTGAACACAACAATAGATATAAGACTAGAAGCGTTGCACTAATTAAAATTCTTCAGATACAACTTTATTCTGTTAGAGTCGGGGGACATTCAAGTAGAGTAGCCAACGCATTTTGGGGGTCCAAAAAACACCCCTTCATCAGGGATTGAGTTGTGATAGAAGTACATCAGGCTTTAAAGCAGCTGGTTTGGCAGCATGATGGCTAGGAGAGCAATTAAACCACTTGTCTGCTTCTACGGCATCGCTCTGCCATACAACCAGGTTAGCATTCTGTGTGGCAATCAGGATTTGCCACACAACACAAAACTTGGGTAATAGGCTTGGGTAATAGTGTGGGACAGAATGTTGAATGTTAGTTACTTTGGCTGTGACTGTCATCAGCACCTCCCAAAAGTTTTTTTTTGCTAACCTTTCCTGAGACACGCAGACATAGTGTTGAATTATTTTGTCATCTGGCTGGTCATTGTAGTGGAAACGTGCACCTTTCTTTAAAGAACTAGTTATTGGTTGCCAGGACACACTGGAAGTCTTCATCTGTCTGTGTGTTGTGCTGGGATTCTAGTGTTTATCTGCACCTTTCAGGAGGAAATGGTTGCCTTCAGGTATACCTGCCTGTAATCTATTATTGCTGTGTATGTACCAGGTTGGAAGCTTAGTTCGATTAGGGACCACACAATACAGAGGAGCCTTAACAGGAGAAATATATACTACTAACACCTTTTATTCATAGCATTTAATAAATGCGGGCTATTTCTGCTTTAGGATCTCTAGTCTGACATGGGCCTTAGGTAGAGATAGAAAATACTCTACTCCTGAACCTTTCTAAAGCTGGCAAAATACTGTGCAAATGTTACATGGTGAGTGGCCCTGTCGGCACCTTTCCATCAAGATCACAAAAATCGAAGCAGCCGGTCGGAAAATCTTCAGGCGAACAGTGATGGCAGCCAATTGGCTACTGTCACTGTTTTGGTATTCTGACAGCGGCACACATGCCTCTGTCAGAATACAATAGCCCGGAAGGAGATTTATCCAACACAGGTTGAAGGAAAAATTACAACAGTGTATGACAAGCTTAAGTGAACTCTTGCAAAGAGTTCAAATGTAAGGTGATTTAAATCAGAAAAGTAGAGAAGAGAAGCTCCAGAGCAGAATATTCTGTCTCTTATCGAATAGGATATGTTGGGGTCCTATGCCAACATATTACATAGTGGTTTACAGAACACATTTAAATATTTGCATCTGTCCCTACCCCTGAAACACTTTACAGGCAGATATCCAACCACATCTATACAAGCACATGCATTAAGTACCAATTTAAGCAAATGCCAATCAACCTACCATGTTTCTGAGTTATGGAAGGCAAGTAGAGCATATAGAGGACTTCAGGAGGTGTAGCTGGTCCTGAAAAGAGTTTCAGCAAAGATTACAAAAATTACTTTATACACCCTGGGTCAAGGCAAGAGGGGGCATGTGGACAGCTGTTTTCCCACTCAAGGCTTGAGTTAGGTAAGTACTCTGTAAAATCTGAATCTAAGAAAGGGGGAGGGGGGTGGGGTGGCAGCACAATATGCTATAAATGGGCTTTTACAGTATCATTAGGGGTCTTCAACATAATGTTGTTCCCCTGCATACATTCCAGCCATTTCAACTAATTAAAAATACACACCCCTTGTGAGTTGAGTCCATGCTGATCAATGCAGCTTTATGTGTTTATGTACATTAAAGGGATCCTGCTTTTTCTTATGGAAAAAGGACCTACTAAAGAGCAGCATACTGGAAAACTAGTTTGCAAATCTTGGTCTAGATGTCAGTCTCACTGTATCTCTAACAATATTCATTTTGTAAGAGATGCTCAAAATATTTGCATCATTTGGGAAAATTCCCTTCCCATAAGACCATTCCCTTCAGTTTCAGCATGCTGCCTTGTGTTGTCAGTGTAATCTAGTACTTGAAAGAGCAAGTCAATATAAATACAGCCTTGCCTTCTTCACAGCAGTCTTTATTAGGCACAAGAATTTGGCTCATTTACTGCACAGGTCACTGGTGGTGTCCTTGACCCCTTATTATCCCATAAGCTATCCCTAGGGGATGAATGACTAGCTTTTCAGTGCAGACTGTCAGACCGAGGCAGTTGTCTGCGGATCCTGTGCTTCCAATAAAAAATGACCTCATACAACAAACAATAGAAATGTCTCAGGAAGCACTAAAAGGACTGTTAAAGAGCTCAGATTTTCCAGAGTGTCGTACACTGGATGTTGTTTTGCTCAGTTGTGTTCGGACTTGGGCAACGCCCTGGCAGCCTCCTGTACGTCCTGTAACATTTTCTGTGCCCATTGACACTTGTGTCTTCCTCTTTCCTCTTCACCTCTGTTATTCACTGAACTTCTTTGCCCTTGTTGTTCTGCTACATTAGAAGACTCCCTTGTATTATTTCATTACTTTTCACGGATGCTGGTTGTGCCAAAAATATATAGAGGTACAATGCAGAGCAATTTATATAGAGCTTATAAGCTAGATTTTTCAGATGAAAGGTTTTACCCCCCAAGAAATGCAGTAGTTCTCTTGAAGCTTTATAATGACCTGAACCAATCAGATGGCCATGGATAAGGAAATCAGATTCTAGATGTCCATTTCCAAATGAAAAAAAACAACTTGTTTGTTACATTGGAAATAAATGGTCTCGACTTGCCTATGCTAACATGTGATAGGATGCGTAGGTAAAGGCTTTCCCAGAAGGCCAAAACTAGTGTATCTGTGCATCAGAAAGCCTTTTTTTCACTCACTGAGATTTTTCCGCTTACTGGAAAATCTCTGCATGACAGGGCTAATCATTTCCTCTTCTGAATAATAAGAGGTAGGAAGGTGTTAACTGCAAGGGTTCCATTTCAACTCATTGGGAGAGAGCCGTGTGCAAAACACTAGTGGATGCTAGGGGAAGGGGGACACACACACACACTGTGTAGGCAAAACCCTTGCACCGGCTCTGCTCCTCTCTACTGGACGTCTGTTTCTCTCTGCCATCATTGTTTTTCATACGGGTGTAAGTGGGGGCTTCACGTTTGAACTTCGGCCAAGGCCTCACAAAGTCTAGAACCGCCTCTGCCCTCTCATCTTTCCCTAATGTGAGTCTAGATAAAATCCTTCCACTGCCCGGAAGGATTTTATCTTATCACCTAAGCTAATGTACGCAGTCATTTGCTTACTACTTTTTGCAAGGTATACTATTCACAATACAAGCCTTTTTTTTTTAATCAAAGTATAAAAGTTGACTGATTTTGGCCTGTGCAGATTTTATACATTCTGCACATTGGTAGCAATGTGCAAATGTGAGTCTGTTTGGGAGAGAGCATCATGATGACAGCAATTCAGTATCTGGATGTTGTAGAGTAGACAGAGCTTAGAAATGCTGCTAAACCTTGCCCTTTTAAGGCTTGACACAATGCATAGATAAGTACAGTACGGTTGAACCAGTATAAAATGTACAGTGCATGCAGAGAGCCAGAAACCTTGATGGTACAGTCTAGGTGGTGTATAGTATGTGTTAGCTTTTCTCTTACTGAAAGCCAAAGCACCAACATATCACACAGGGCTGTACATTAAAAAGGGGCAAATGACGATTCCAGTATAAAAAAAAAAGTAGAGAGACATGATAGATGAACAGAGGAGGACTTCTACCTGTATGACTTTCCAACGTCGGGAGACATTAGGCACAAAAGTCAATGAATATGAGACCCAAACTAAGATTGATGGAGCTTGTGTAGTGGCCGGGCCTGCGCAGAGTTCAGAAATGACCGCCACTTTCGGCTGGCCCTAAGGTTTCATCATTTTGATGCAAGGACAACCAAATAGTATAGCAGGATGTGTTGCAACATGTTTAAACCCGTGTGCTTTAGTTATTCATGTCAAAACATCGCCAGGATTTAATGAACATTGCTGCTACCAAAGTTCATTCTTATATCTGTAATTTAAAGTAGTTGATTACTTACCAAAAGTGCAAATCGTATCTTTTTTTTTTCTTCAATTAACTTTATTCAGCCATGAGTGATATAACAAATGAAAACCCAACCACTGTGCTTGAGCTCATGCTTGTTACATCATGAATGGCTGAATAAAGTTTAATTGAACAAAAAAAGGATTTGGTGGAAGTGCGGCTTTGCATTCCAGTGGGATGACAGACACCGTTTGGTGGTGAGCCAGAAATCCGATTTTTGAAAATATGGCACTACAAAACAAACAAATGCAAAACGTTTACATAAAAATGTTAAATAAAACAAAAGCTAAACGAAGAAGATGAACAACTTAAAAAAAAAGAAGAAGAAGCTAATTAGCGTTCAAGCTCTACTCTCCCAATGTAATCAGTGATCTGATGTGCTCTGTGTATCAAGGGCAATGTCAGCAACCTTGTATTTATTGTATTGTTATCTCCAGATGTGTGTGAATAGTGTTCTGTTTTTGTTTTAGACTGGACGTGTGGATAAGAACCATCCTACAGTCAGCGGACACACAGCTCCTGTATTAGACATTGATTGGTGTCCCCACAATGATAATGTCATTGCCAGTGCTTCAGATGATACCACGATCATGGTAAGTGCAACTTTTTTTATGGCTAAACATCCTTCTGATCTTCCTCCATGTCCATCACTCTGTATAGGAGCTCGTTTATAATGAAAAATGGATACAATTCCCTGCAAAACTGTACTGTAAATATTTACTATTGCGTCTATATTCTAAATTGTATTTATAGAATGTAGAGCGTGGTGTGGAGACTGCCATGTCCTTCTGAGTTTTCTTTGCCTAACTTTGCAAAGAACACAACATGACTTGTCCTATGCATGTGACTGATTTCCTTCTCCCGCCACTTTTTGTCCCCGTTCATTAAAATAAATGGGGCTTTAGAGCCCCCAAGCAGAAAGCAGATATGTTAAGTACACTTGTGATTTATGCGTTTTAAAAATGAGCCGAATCTGTGTATTTTTGTACTGTCTGTTTATATGAAAAACCTAATAAAAACAATAAAAAAAAAAACAGCAGTATGGCCAGCGTAATGTGTGTGTATATATAGTATAGGGTGGGGAATGGTTACAACCAGTCTTTATTTAATATCTGTGTCCCATTAGGGAGTATTACCTTTTACTTCCTCTTCTATAGACACAACAGGAAGTGAGTGGAAACCTCTTCAAAACGAGGAAAATGGCCTTTAGGACAGTTGTCACCGGAATAGATGTCCCCCATTTGGAAGATTTTTTTCACTCCTATTCCTGTTCTGGTGACAACTCAACATTTTTACTTTTCCCTTACTTTTATTCCTGAGATCATGGTCAGCAGGACAATTAGAATCTTCCTAATGGTAACACAGACAGCAATGAGACTCTAACAAGAGTTCTAACGCTTCTTCACAGTGACTTACTAGGTAGAGAAGCCAGGACCACATATAAAGTCCCACAGCTTGCACAAGATTTGATGAAGTCTTTACAATAGTAAACAGCCCTCCATGGGGAAATATAAAAGTTTACCTTTTTTTTTTTTTTTCTACATGTACCACAGCCACTATATTTTCTTTATTTTGCAAGTTATATTTAAATGACCTTCCTTTTACTGATTCGGTAGTCTTTACTGGAAATATAGGAGCCTCTGTCCATACAGAAAAAACAGCCCTGGGATATTACACTGCTAGGTTGCAACACATTTTGCTAGATTTTGCGTCAGAATTCATCTGTCAGAACAACAAAATTTAACAACAGTTCTATAGAGGTATGCCTGAACAAACCATTCAAACTAAGATCACTCAGGGAGACATTCATAATATAGGTGATGGTAGTTTTTTGTTGACCTGGCATATACACTCTGAAACAAAACCTCACTATGTATGGCTAGCATTACAAGGCGTCACAGCAGAATCATGGGAGAAGCAAAGTAGAAAAAAGGTCTGCTGCATCCTTGGAAATGTTGATCCAGTTCATGAAATGGCTCCTTTGATTGTGTTTTGTTAACGTGCTCTGTAATAAAGGCAGATTTCTTTCTGGAAGCTGTATTGGCCGAGTATTCCTAAAAGAAAAAGTATAAAAAGGCCTCCGAACTTCAGCATCTAATTAAATTGTACAACTCCATTCCTGAAAGTTTGTGTACTTATATAAATTAAAGCAGGCAGGCTTTACATTGAGTAAATATAAGTTGTGCTTTAAGAACATATTTCTAGAAGACTTACCACTAAAGGGGCTCAAATTTAACTATTAAACCATAATCTTAAGAAAATTTGAAATTGAGGTAGGTTTGGATAATGTCATGTTTGTGCACCAAAATGGGAACAATCAGGCTGGTTGAACCTTTTTGTTTTTTAATTTATGTGATTGGTGCAAATGTAATGTAGTGAGCATTTCAAAATTGACTTAAGGAATATTATCATTAAAATTTAATTCTGACCCTGAGAATGTGTTTTGTTTCAGACAGGTCTGTGAAACCATACAGCAGCCTTCCTGCTAGGTGTTGCTTGAGTTGTGGCTAACTGACCTCCCATCTATTGGTGTCTGCATAGTTTTGGAGCCAATGCTACTTGGCAGAGACAGCGGCATGACACCAGAGACTTATTTAGCTGTCTGCTATGGTGGCAATAGACTGGCACTATAAGGGAGGTTCTTCCAACTGACCATCAATGTAAGGGGCATTTTCCTCACTGATCCCCAGATCCCCAATGAATTTTTTCTTAATCCTTTATTTTACAATAACCATGTAATCAATAACATTACAAAAAATGGCATTTCCCATGAAATGAAAGGGGAATAAAAAGGAAGTTACACAGTTTTTAGGTGCACTACACAGTTCATAGTTCTACGATTCAGAAGTGTATGTTTAGCAATACAAAGAAAGTTATGGTGCCTCACATTACATGGTTGACTGCAGGGCCGTCCCTATAATGAGGTTGTTGTCTCAGACGGCATCTCATTGGGGAGCGGCCGGGTGATGGGGTGGCAGGGGGCACCCAGAGTGTCCCAGCTTGATAAGACCACACTGACAGCAGCTCTGTCCAGCTCACTGATGTCACTGGTTGCCAGGAGCTAGGCGGGTCCACCAG